AAACCTGTATGGCTGTATAACTGTTATAATATAAGGGGACTACACATTTAAAAAATTTTAACATTTTTAAATTTAAAAAGAAAATGCAGCCACTGCTTTTGGATGTTTGAACAACTTATTGCTTTCAAATTGAATCTCAAAGACCAAATAGGAATATAAATTGGTTCCATTTGATATTTGTAAACTAAATGGTTTTTTGAGTCTTTGCTAATATAAGTGTTTACCTTTCTGGCAATTGTAGCAGTGGGTTAAATTTAAATATTTAATAATGATGTGCTAAAGATTCTTCCTATTCATATGCTGCATAATTAATTTGTAAGTCATTTGCGATTTGGGCCATTAGTTTAGACATGGATGATGATAACCATATGGACCTTTACCACCACTAACAATAACATAATCATTTTAGTAGAAACTTCATTTTATTTCTGTGATTGTAGAAGAAACTTCACACAAGCTAATCATTGTGGATGTGTTTCATGAACTGGATATTGGCCTTTGCCAAGATGCAAGACATTGATATTCTTATTTGTTAACGTTTGAAGGAAAAGGCTCACTGTAGTGTTTAACTCACTGTGTATATGATATTATTATTAAGCCTGAGACTGTATAGTATATATAGGTACAAGGAAGGTTTGATAGCCACATACTAACCCACTAATTTAAACTCTTACAGTCCCAAATTATTCTATGATCATCAGAGAGTCCAATGACTTGAAATACTTGCTTTTTAATCAATTGGTTTTACCATCAGATGTTGTAGTCATACACATTATGATGCTGGAAAGTGGAAACTGCCTCATTCATCAACATAGGATATTATCGAAGCTGACCTGTTATATGATCTCTGAATTGTAGAATGGGTTATCATTATATTTGAGTTGTTTAAATTCTAAAACCCTTGACTTGTGGATTATTTATTCTTCCTTGGCTAATGTATTTGTAAGATATGATGTGTGTGTGTGGTGGTGATCTGATGGTTCTATCTTTCTGTTCTTGGTGTGTTTTACATGAGCAACATTCTTTCTTTGAGAAAAAAATAAACCAAGCTAGAGGAATGAAAATTGAAAACAGATAAATGAGATAAAGTCGCAAAGGGGATTGAAAAGTGGTTAATCAAATCTCAGTAAGATGATGTATAATGTAACATGTTAAAATGTGTGACTTAATACTTTTGGTGGTGAAGAGTAAGTACATTGCCCTTCTTTAAGCAGTTAAGAATTGGTTGGCTGTCAAATGATTATGCTTATTTCTGTTGTTTATGCAGTGATTCCTGTTGCAGATGTGATAAGAGTGCGTACTGGTAAGCAACCAAGAGTATGTAGAGTAGCATACTCTTTAATTATATAGCCCATTTTGTATTTATAAACGTGGTTTGGAGGATCTTTTATCCACAAACTTTCCCACTATCAATTGTTTTTCTAACCTCTTCCCTCACACCTTCCTCTCTGTTCCTGATCACCTTTTTTATAATGAGTGGTCTATCATTTGCTAAATCAGGAGAGAGGGGGGAAAAGGCTGAGAGGATGATGGGTGGAAGAGCTGATATGATCGGTGTGTCGAGTGCTTGAAGCGGTGGCTGCAATGCAAGGATACTATCACCTTTCTTGATCCAGCTGCATGGAGGTGCTGGTTTTGATGTTTCTAAGAAATTAAGAACCCCGTGCTGGTTTTGATGTTTCTAAGAAAGTAAGAACTAGTTCAGGTTGTGTGGAACGATGTGGTGTGGTTAAAAATAATTTTATTTCGTAATTGTTATGAGAATAAGTCTTAGTGTCCCCTAATTCAAGGTGTTATATATATATATATATATATATATATATATATATATATATATATATATATAATAAAAAAAAAGTGAAAATTTCATAGTCATATTACTCTTACGGTTAATGTTGGTGCTGAAGGGTTGAATCACAAGTCTAGAGGAAGGAGATGAATAGATTTGTGTAAATTTTGAAAATCTTTATTGTTTGAAATTCTAAGTTTAAGATAAACGCATGAACTTAAGTTAGAATACTCAATAATAAAGGATTTTTGCAGCGAAAATTTTAGGTTCAATAGTGTTATAGACTGAATGTAAAAGTTAGTAAAGTAAAAAGAAAAACAGATTTTTGAAGTGGTTCAGCCAAACCCAACACTTGAGTCTTGAACACAAAGTCGGTTTCAAGCTTCTTAGGTTTTTCACAAGTCTCAACTTGTTACTCAGACTTGGCACTTGAATCTTCACTTCTCATAGATCAAATTCTGAGCTTGATCTGAAAATATTTAGCTCTTCTTCTCTTTAGCACTTAGAACGCTTTGGATCACTTGATATTTCTCAATAATAAGACCAACACTTTCTTTAGTCTTGATTGAAGGTATTTATAGGACCATTTAAAATAAATATGTTGGATGAAGATAAATTTCAAATGTCTCTTAATCCTTGATTTTTGACTAGTGGACATTGTAAAATGTCATTCATTCAAGTGGTACATTTGACTAAATGGTGTCAAAAATCTCTCACTATTAGCATATCATCCGTCAACTAAATAGTAACAACCTACAAACATAATTTTATAGTTTAATAAGAATGCATGATATATTGATATTACATCATATTTGAAATTGAATATTATAATGCTTACCATTAGGGACCTTAAGTGGATACCTTCTAGGTAATGCATCTCGAAAAACTCTACTGTTTGCTACATATACTTTCCATTTTCATCTATAATCTGTAGAGGTAGCTGGAATTGACTTAGGATCTTTGAATAGATGATTTCGGAGTTTCAAAAGAGCATTTAAAATCATATTAAAGTATCGACTAATAGTTTTCCCTGACCTTTGAAAATTGTTTTGAATGATCTTATTTTTTACATGATGAGCAATAATATGTAAAAAGATTGCTACTTGCTCATCAACAAGCATATTTATTGTTGGCATTAACCCTCATATAGTTTGTAACATTGCACACAACTTTACAAAAACATGTCGATTCATCCTAAGTTAAGATATGCATTTTCCGTCACAAGAATACATCATTCATAACATATATTATCGAGACTTTAAAGTATTAATAATATAAGATTTCACACATTTTTTTCTTAGAACACAAAATTGTCAAGGTGGACATCATCATTATGAATAATAAACTCACAGAAGCACACATATCCAACCACACATGCAATACAGATACGAATCTTTTTCTTCTTTCAATATAAGTTATTAAACACAATCAAACCATAACTACAAATTAAATTAAAAAATTACAATACTCAAAACACACACACACACACACACACACACACACACACACACACACACACACACACACACACACACACACATATATATATATATATATATATATCAAATACATACAAATAATTAATTTCTAGAAAATAAAATTTAGAAAAATACCTTTTGTTTGAAGCTTGAAGAAAAATTCCAATATAAATTAGATGCAAATGGCAGAAGAGATGAGAAGATAGAGAGAAAGATAGCATAAAAAAATTTAAGTTAAATAAGGATAAAATAGAAAATAAAATATATATATATATATATAAAGTTATTCGAACTCATGAATAACTTAATATCAGGGGGCAGTAATAGTTATTTCCCTTGTAGGGGGAATAACTCATTCCCAGGAACAAGGTTCTTTGGAATACAAGTTCTTTAGATCTATTACTGGGAATGATATTTTATTCTAGGCTTATTCCGTAAACCAAACGTGTGACGTTAGTCTTTTACACTCTCCTCAAATAATGACATAATGAGTATTAAGTTTTCTTTTGCTTCTATCATCTCTCGTGTTTTCTTTTGCTTCTATCATTTCCCAGTCGACTCTTTTCTCGAGTGCTGGCAGCTACTACAACTGTTGCAGTTGGTGTATGGACTACTTGAGCATTCATATACTTGTTCGTAAACTGCATCCTCAAGACATAAGGTTTGTGGAGCTTTGTAAGTCTTTTTGGCCTAATTGCTGGAGGAATATCATTTCTGTTTCATTGTGTAGGGGGACAAAATGTATTAAAGTGATCATATACTCAGCTTTACACAACATAATCATCACACAGGAAATCAATAAATTCAGCACGTGCAACATAACTATAACGGAGAATGCTTATTCTAGGATGACAATCATGTCAAGCCTTCAAAGCTTTAGCTCAGTCTATATAATTTTACTTTTATTTCTAATTCTGGGCTCAATCTAGAGCTCTAATTAGAGTGAAAAAATAATAATAAATTTAGCTTGTGTATAAGTATACTGGAAAATACTTTTTTTGGGTTTACAATAATGTGAAGCTAGCCTTAAATGTTAGAGTGAATTTCATACATCTAATTCAATTTTAAAAAACAATAATAACAACATCCAATTCTGATGCATAAAATGGTATGCATTGAAAGAGAGAACAAGAAAGTCATGTAAGACAACAATCAGTTCAAAATTCAAATAGTCAAATAAATAAATAATTATTTGTCCTAAAAAATTATGTTGAAATTCTTAAATCGAACCGAAGCAAATCTGATCTGAAACTGGTTATTTTTTATTTTTTGTTTTTTGTTTTTTTTTTTATTTGTTCAAATCGAACTACAATGTTAAACTGAATGATTTTATATTTCAAAATCGAACAAACTGAAATTGAAAAAATTTGAATCCAAAATGGGAACACCCACTCCTAGTTATATGTATTCATCATGCATTCTCACAATCAAGATAATATACCTACAATGACTTCATATTGTTTGTTTCATTCTTTATTGGTTATTGTTAATTGGTACCGACTTATCTTGACCTATAGTGGTGAGTAGTTTGGATCAATATTCTAATATTATCAATTTTTTATTTTTTTAATTTTTTTTTTTGCAGTATAATAAGGAGTACTATATTATAGTCACTAATTAACCCAAATAAATCAATGTATATGCAGATATTTTGCCTTCAAATTATTAGACGAGTGTTAAATTCTAGACTAATTGAACCGTACTACACCTTCAATTAGATTAATTTCTAAATTGCTTTCGATAACCTTAAGCATCCAATGTGTAATTGCTTTATGCGGTCTGCCATACTGCCTCGCCCTACCTGGACCGCCTACCGCCAATTCACATCCTGCTTCTCTGTGTTTCTGCCAGCCTCCGACCCCCGTAAGCAGCCAAGCCAGTTGCCGTTCGTCCGCCAGAGATCTGCAACGCGTCCGTCTGGCAGAATAGCTGATGGAAGGCTTTATTCACAAAATCATGAATAAATTTTGATTTATTATTCATATGTATTTGATGGAAGGGCTTTGGCAGTTTATGTTTTGAACCCAACCTGATTTAATCTAATGTATTCGATTTTCATCATATATAGATATATATTAGCAAATTATATTTTCGTTATATAGCAATATCGAAGAACAGCGGAAGCAAACCCTAATTTGTTGGAAAGATCAGATGGATGCAAAGGACATTTTAGGGCTACCGAAGAATTCACTGTCCATACCCCAAGAAAAGAAGTCTAGACCTCCGAAAGAGTCTCAACGCAAACCCGATGGCATTTCACGAGAAGTACTTAGTTTCTCTCTCTATTTCTCCACTCGTGGAACATGTGTAATTTCTGCTCTGTTTTGAGTGTATGGTTTATTTGAACTGTTGGTTTGAGCTCTGTAATGTTTTAGGTTTACGCCCTTACAGGAGGTCTGGCACCTCTCATGCCTGCTATTGATATCAATCATTTGAAAAGACGAACACAGGCAGAGAATGAAAAGGTTACATGACTGTTGAACTCTTCCCTTTTTTTTAATTTTTTTTTATTTTTATTTTTTTATTTTTATTTTAATTTTAACTGCTTATGTAAGGCACTGATGTACTTCAATTCTCCCTCCAGATTACATGGCAATGGCTTCCTTTTACAAATTCTGCCCGAAATGACAATTTGCAACTATACCACTGGGTATGTCTAGCTCTTCATTGTGAAGTCTATGTTCAGTGTTGTGAGATTTATGTAGGGAAAAGAGCTTTTCTGCCTCTTCTGTTTTTAGGTGAGGGTTGTAAATGGTGTTCTGCCAACAGGCGATTATTCCTTTGCTAAGTATAACAAGGTATGCTGAAGAATCTTTCTATTATATAGTCCTTATTCACAAATATGTCTTTTTCCAAAGCTTTCCTGGACCAATTTATTTGTTTGTTGATGATTGAATGCAGTCAGTGGATGTGATTGAATATACAGATGAGGAGTATGAGAAATATTTGACTGATCCCGTAAGTATCTCACACATTAAAAGTGCGATAAGTGCGATGCACGGGTGCAAATACTAGTTAAATCTAAACGACAGTATTGTCCCCTTAAAATAAACTTTATCCACGCTCCAACAACCAGTTCATGAAGTTCTAAAGTGTATCAGTGTAGTAATAGTAATAAACTAGTCAAACTCTCTCTTTTGCCCATATAGTTAGTGTGTCGTATGTCAACGAACACTCAAGTAATCTATTATTCTGATTTTAATTATACCTTCTCTAATATAAGATGTGGACCAAGGAAGAGACAGGCCAATTATTTGAGTTGTGTAAGAGGTTTGATCTACGGTTCACTGTGATAGCCGATAGGTTTTCATCGTCACGTACGATTGAGGAGCTTAAAGATCGTTATTATACTGGTAAATCATTTATCTCTACTTGCTGATTACTTCTCCTTAGTGTTTTGGTACTGTTTATTTTTGTGGGTTTTAATGCAGTAATTCTTTATATTGTCAACTGCTTACTATTGTTGTATTGTGCTCTAAACTTATATAACTTGCAATTTTTTGTCTTGTCTTAGTATCTCGAATTGTCTTGAATTCAAGGGCTGCATCTTCTATTGATGTTGCTGGGCATCCTATTATTAAGGTTTGTAGGCAGTTCCATTCCTTCCTCTTTACATTTAAAGAGTATATGCATTTCATTCTGCTGTCTACTTTTCTGTGCTGTTTCTATGTTTATTGTATCCAAATTATCACAATTATGTAGGAACCATACAATATGCCTCAAGAGATTGAAAGGAAACGTGCATTGTCCATGGTACTTTCGCAGACAAAGCATCAAGAGCGCAGAGATGCAGAGGTTGTTTTTTTTTTTTTACTTTTGAAAATTGTGAACAAAGGAAAACAGAAAATTCAATTGATGTAGCCCTGAATAGACTTGCTTGATGAATACATTGAATATATAACTTACTACATCAATCACTCTTTTTTATCTGTTTACTTCATTTCAAATCCTTTTAGGTCCTTGCTGAAGCAAAGAAAATAATAGAATCCCGTAAAGTTGCAAAGGTAATTTCCAGTACTGTGCCCTTGACCCAAACAAAGGAGGTGCTTACACTTTGTTTTGAATGAAAGGCTGCTGAAGATTCAGAGCTACCAATCATGTCAGATACTTGCCCAGAAGGTTTGGATAGGGCCATTAATGTTGATCCTGTCTCAACTTCCCCAAATGCTCAATTTCCCTCTGGCACAAGTGCTGCTCCAATATCAGAAACTGCTTCTGCTTTAGCTTCTCTTCACATGGTGAGCTTAAGTTGAAGAAGGAAAATATAAAAACATTATGGCCCTGTTTGGTAAAACAGTTAGCCTATCAGCCAATTTTGGCTTATTTGACCACTATTAGTGTTTGACTTGGTTAAACAATCAATATGAGTGTTTGATTAATTAGTTTTTTGTAACAACTTATTGCTCTAAAATGCTAAAATTCAAAAAGCTACTCAAACACTCATATTGAGAAAATCATTTTGTATGTAATCAACTAACAACTAATTTATCAAACACTTTTCTACAATCATTTAATGCTATCAACTAGTCAAACTCATTAACCCAATCAGCTAACTACTATCAGTCATTTACCAAACACCCCCTATGTTAGTGCTGAGATGGTATTATACTATTATTGCCTATCTTATTGACTGGTGATTCAATTTTCAGTTGGGGGTATACTTGCGTACATATGCGCTAGAACAAATGGTGCAAGAAGCAAGCTCATCAGCTGGACTACGGACTATTAAGCGTGTTGAGCAAACTTTACAAGACCTAGGGGTTTGTCCTGGCTCCAAATACCTTTCTGCTGAACCTTTTGTGTGTTTGTTTGAGATCATCTAGCATGTGCTTGTTATTTCCTTTAGCTTGTTACTCTATTTGTTTCCACTAGTTTAAGAGGAGAAGTTGGAGTTTGCTTTTACAGGTTAATTTGAAGCCAAAAGTCCCAACTAAACTTGTATGTGCTGAGCATCTTGAACTTAGAAAAGAAATTTTGACCCTTTTGAATCTTCAGAAACAGGTATGTATAGTATCTCTAATGTTATCTGTAATCTTTGTGAAACACCCCCTTCCTGAAATCCTAATATAAGATTCACAAGTTACGGCTGCTATTTGTGGCAATTTTTTTTTATTTTTTTTTAAATTTATTTTTCGGGTTAAAATTTCAGTTGCAATACAAGGAGGCCGAAGGTTCATCTTATCGTGATGGTTCATATTCTGAAACTCCTGGTTCACCGCCAAAGGTGAGCTAGCCATTCTCTGTTTCCCGTTTTTTATTGTTTAAAGAATTAAACAGAAGCATGCAGCATGTATTATTTGATGTATATTGGCAGCGGTCACAGCGTGGAGTTGATCAGGACCGAACATTCATTCCTGACTTAAGTTTTGGAGGTAATATTGAACTTTGATTTTGCCATATTGTCATTTTGTTGATTCTTACCAACCCCATGGGGCTCCAGGTGAATCATCCCTACTATGTAATGGCTTAAATTAAGGATGATTTCTAACTTATTTGGTTGTATGTTAGGGGAAAGAGTTGGTAAAAGGGATCAAAAACGGAAGGTATGCTCATTATTATGTATTATTTCTGTGGTTTCTCTTTCTCTGAAAGTTTCTACTAATTGCACATTTCTCTGAAATTTGGGTGGGTGAAGACACCTGGAACACCCAAATTTGAAAGCTCACCAGCAACCTCAAAACGGCCACGGAAGTTGAAAGCTTCAGATGGATAGGCTTGGCAGGTTAGTACATAGTTTCAAGTTCTATGGCTGAAATTGCGATCATAGAACGCTATTTTATTGTGTGAAGTGTCCATGTAGAATTCTCTGGGTAGAAGTTAATACCAAATGCAATGTTTATGGAAGTGTTTTGTGATGGGGTGCTTGTGTTTTTACAACAGGAGCACTGCCTTTCTGAGAATGTTTCCTCGGGTGTTGTGGTGTGCTTAAGCTCTTGAATTGGTTTTAGCAAAGCATTTTAGAATCTAATGCTTTATGAAATGTGGAGTCTGCTTTTTGTTCCTGCATGGGTGGTGAAAGCGCACTGGCACATCTCTGAATCTGACAAGTTAACATTTTTAAGTTTCAGCTATCTAATCTAATCTGTATATTCCCGGAATTAACGGAGTATTTCTTAAGTTAACATTTTAAGTTTCAGCTATCTAATCTAATCTGCATAATTTATCCGATAAATCATTTAAGTAATGAATATTTTTCAATTTCAAGGATGGCAGAGTAGGTTTATTTTTTTTTAATTTTAACAAAATATGTATTTAAATTAAGGCGCAGTGACAGGTGGGAGAAGAGGATTTATTTATTTTTTAATTCTAGAAAATTAAAAAATCACTGCTCTGTCGGAAAGAAAATATTGGAATCAACCAAATGAAAGCCCTTCTTCTCTTACAAAATGCCTCGTTCGTTCTGTTGTGGGAGGAGGGCAGGGCAAAGTTGAGTTTCCCAATCTCTTAATCATTAAGCAAGAAAAGCAATTTCATTTTGCTATAAAAAAAAAATACACAATCTCATTTGTAAAATTCTTTTTATTCTAAAATTTCTATATGCAAGCATTTATTTAACATCACTTGGTGATAGCAAATCAATCATAAGTGTTATGCTAAACTTAACTTTTAACATTTCGGCATTGGAATTTGGAAGGATACTCCTGCCGTGAAAATAGCCAATCCGCAAGACTGCATCAGCTATCACTCACGTGAAAAGATTTTCCCAATTGCAATCAATGAGGGATTGAGGCTTGGGTACTGGGTAATAGTATATTTACATACCAGTCCTTAAATAACTTTGGTATTTAAAGAATAGGGTAAAAAAAAAAATAATTATGAAAAATGTAATTAAACCCTAGGAGCGGAGGGTGTTGAAGTTTTGGGCGTTGCCTAAGAAAAAGAAAATGGGTGGTGTTGCAAAGCAGCAGAAGCAGCTACTAGCCAAGGGGTCGCTGGTTGAGGTGTGCACAGACGAAGAAGGCTTCACGGGAGCGTGGTTCGAGGCCGTCATTCTTGACCCTAATCCTCCTCCTCCCTCTTCTTCTCCTTCTTCCTCTACAAGATCCGGTTCCAAAAAGAAGAACGCCAAGGTCTACGTCGAGTATGTAAACCTCCTTTCCGACGAGGATGGGCATAAGCCTTTAAGAGAGCTTGTGGATCCGGATTTTATTCGCCCCCGCCCGCCTTCCCCTTCCCCTTCTCAGAACGCTAAGGGTTTCGAGCTTTACGACGTCGTTGATGCCTTCTATAAGGATGGTTGGTGGACTGGAGTTGTAACTAGACTTCTCGGTTCTTTTCGCTACACAGTCACCTTTAAGAACCCGCCGGACGAGCTTGAATTCGGCCTATCTGACTTGAGGTTCCACCGTCAATGGCTTAATGGAAAGTGGGTCCGACCCAGGAAGCAGGTAGTAGTATAACCCTTTCTTCTTACCCCCCACGCAATTCCTGCGCCTTCCCACATTTCTTTCTCACTTTTAAAGAAAGTTTTATTCTTCTTTTTCGAATATAGAGACCAAATAAACATTGTCTTAGGTTGTGTTTGGGAGACTGGTCTAGAAGGCCATTTGGGTAATTGTGGTTTGAGCGAGATTGCTCCAATAGCAGGAAAGTCAGGAATTTCAAGAGGAGGGGTAAGGGTGTGGTAGGAATGGTGCAATTGGAGCAGTCCAACCAGTCAAATCTTACCCAAAGGGATCCTTAGTCATAAAAACATTTCTACTGTGTTGGAATTGTTCTACTGAAAGTGCCAATTTGTATATTAAGAAGTGATTAGTACTCTTTCTTTCTGATTATTCTTGATTTATTTGTTCTTCTTTTGTCAATTTCTCGAAAGAAAACAGCAGGATTGATGTTTAGTGTGGGGAAAAAGGTAGAAGTCTCATTTGACAGAGATGATTGTCAGGATGCTTGGTTCCCTTCAGATATCATTGAAGTTTCTGGTAATGGCTCTTTCTTGGTGGAGTATCGGAGGCCGAATGATGGCAATGAGAACGAGCTAATTAGAGTAACAGTTGATGCCCTCCATATCCGACCATGCCCTCCACTTCTCAAAAATAAAAATTTTAATTTATTGGACAAAGTAGATGCATATTATGATTTTGGCTGGTGGAGAGGAGTGGTAAACAAAGTACTTGCTGATAATAGTTATAGTGTTTTCTTTAAACATGGGAAGAAGGAGAGGGTGCTCAATCACTCAGAATTAAGACCTCACATGGATTGGAAGGATGGAAAATGGTATACTTCTCAGGTATGCTCACTTTTTGTTTATGCTCCTGACAATAGTTCATAATCATTTTTGTTTGTCATACTTGGTAGAAATTGAGTCTATGAGCCAGTATCATAACAAATTAACAACTTGTGTGGGTGAATCATTGTTTTATTACCAATCACAAGTTTTGTGTTGAATGCTGTATTCACACTGGAAATTATTATCTGGATTCCTTATTAATCACCATCTACTTCAGAGATTAAAGATTCTTGTGGGAGGAAGGCGTACAGGAGCATGTTATCCTTATCCTTCTCTTTTGTGCTGATGTGTTGCATTAAGTAACTTTACGTGACAGCAACAAGTAATTCTTGTTTGTCACTGTGTCTGCAGGTGGTTGGATTTTTGCCCTCCTTGATAACACATTTTAAATCACATTGATTTTTTTTTTTGGTTTCACCTAACATCTTGAAATAGATTTGGTCTCTATCCAAAGCTCTTGCTAAAATCGTGTATCATTGTTATGAATACTTTGATGCATTGCTTTAGGAATGTAGTGGAACATGCCAGTTGGTTTTATTTTTATATTTTTAATTATAATTTTTAAATTCTGGTGCGACATCTAGTTTGCTTGCCTCTATCCTTCATAGCTAGTTTGATTAAAAAAAGCTGTTGATTTTCCAGAAGTATGTCTTTACTAGGAAGTTTTCAGATTTTGCTGTTCTTGGAAATTATAAAGATTTTACTTGCCATACATATTCTGCTTCAGGATGCTTCAGTCCCTCCAGATTGCACCATTGAGGAAGTGGACACCTGCAATGATCCAAATGTGATCCAAAGTGTTCTTCAACCTGGCAGCCCAGTCACTGGCACTACAAATGAAACGTCTGGAGAGAAAATGTCCTGTTTCTTGAAGTCTGATGGTGATAGGAGTGAGCAGCCAACTATTTCCATCAAGAAGCCTTCAAATGCTAGAGTTTCACCAATGAAAAGGAAGCAACGTCTAGAACTGCCAAAGGAAGGAATTTCAACTCGATCGCCATCTCTTAGCAAATTTAAGCAAAAGACAAATGAATGTGAAACACCAACTGAGGACATTCCAAGTGGTTTTATCAATCCAACTTCCAAGGGTACTAGATTGAATGTTTCAACTTCTGTCAATGTAGATGAGCTGCCTGATCAACCTTCTCAGGGGAAGAGAACTGTAAGTGTTATTTACTATGTGTGTGTGTTTGTGTATTGCTGCAAATGATAGTTCTTATCTGTAAGAGTGCTTTAGAAAATTCTCTGCCATCAATTTCATTTTGTTATTTCTGTAGTGCATATAGTTAGGCAGACTCCTATTAAATGCACAAATATGCCCTTTTACAAGTGTGAACTGCACCAGGGTTGCCTTTGTAGGCATCCTCATGCACTGCATCCTTGCGATGTTTAGTTTTAGAATTTACTAAAATTGATCCACAACTACATTCTACTTGAAATTAGCTAAAGATGCTTTAGTGAATTCTTCCTACCAATGCCTCATTCTATACCACTGATTTTTAAGCTTGATTTGTCAGTTATGTCACAGATTAGTATAGTTATGTCTTTCATAATTTATTCAGCAGAGGAAACGCCATAAAATTGATGAGCAAGAAGGCTATATGTCAAGTGCACAGATAAAGGTAGGGGGAGCCAAAAAATTGCAAGTTAAAGGCCAACAATCTTCAGCTCAAGGTATATGGTGCTAAGTTTCCCTTAGTTTTTCTTGATTCCAAAATTTAAGTATAGTGCTGAAGCTGCTTAACAGGTAAAGAGGGTAAAGAAGTAGGAAATGCTGCTGAATGTAATGAAACTGACCTTCCTATCATCATAGGATTGGAGTGTATTCCTCCCTCAGTGACTAAAAAACCTCGTAGATCTTATGGCAAGGAGTGTTCAGATCCTACAAGTGACCAGGAGCAGGACTTGAGCAATCTAACTATAGATGCTATAAAGGTGAGCAGAATAATGCATATTGTATGTTCATTAATCGAAATTATAATATCTTAGTTTATCCTTTTATGTCTTTTTACACTTATCAGCTAATTCAACAACTAATTTTACCAAACACTTTAATTTCAATTAGTTAGCTTATTAGTTACTAGCTTTTCAGCTTTCAGCTTTTAGTTAACTTTTCAGCTAGGCGTGCCTAACAGAGCCATAATATATCCTTGATTACATTTAGCATTTTTTCCCCTGGTTCAATGAATTTGATTTTTTTAATGTTTAGATTCCATGTGTAATTGCTTGCTGTGGTTTCATGAATTGGAAACACTTGTATTTTATTCATTTTTATTTCATTTACTTCAATCACCAGTCATAGTTCTACTCTTGCATAGGAGAGTAAAGAAGATACCCTGACTGGTCAAAAGAAAAAGAGAGGAAGGCCACCCAAGAAACTGCTCAGCACTCCTCATGCTTCCCCAGGTTTATTATTGTTTTTATGAGAGCCTAATATACATTTTATTTTCTGCTTAGCATTTTTTGGGGTTTAGTTGTAGATTATTCCAAGAATGAAATGATTGTTCAAAATTGTGTAACTAATGAAGCTGGTTTGCATGGCAATGTTGGTACTAATTCAGCAGGGATGGGGAGCTCAGTTCCCTATGATGTAGATGCTAAGGATCCAATAAAGAGTCAAAGGGGGCGCAGGAAAAGTGGAGGCAGGATAAGAAAAATGGCTTTAGCTAAAGTATCAAATCAGAAAAATCGTGCTACAATAATGAAGTCTGAGAAGCACACACTAAAGAGGGGGAAAAGAAAGATTATTGAAGTAAACATTGAATCTCAAATTCCAGGTGAAGAATGTTTTTTTTTTTTTTTTTTTTTTGGTGTTGGAGGTTTCATATTTTCATGCTTGGGTTTCTTATTGGTTTTGTTTGTCTTGTTGTATTGCTTATAACTTTTTCTCCTATACAATTGGGGATATGGAACTATGATGCAATATTTGATTGTTAAGAGGATTCAAGTGACATAAAGTGAAGCAATTCATGTCTCTACCTGCCATTTTGTATTTTCTCTGTTGTCAGTGAAGGATTTTGATTTTGGTCCTTCTGTAGATACTGCTGATACTTCTGGAGGGAAAGATGCTGAATGCATAGCTGTAGAGAAAGTCATTGCTGAAGTACCTAGCAATGGTTTTGAGGATCAGCCTCTCTCAAAGTGGATTGAAGAAATGCACCCTCCAACTGCTGTTGATGGATCAAGTAAGCTAGTATGCTCTGTATCTTGTGCTCCCTTAGTCTATGGAATTTGTTTCATGACATTTGATTTCTTCCAGGATCACAAGCGAGGAATGTGGAGCAACATAGTGAAGCAAGAGAGAAGTCCAAAGAGATTGTTGTGCGAAATCCTGCTATTGACAATGGAGAAGTGGCAGCGTCAAGTGATCTCCAAAGCTTGCCTTTTGTGAAAAACACACTTCTTTGGGCCACAATTGAATCCATGGACGTTTTCCAGAAAATTCCACAGAAGCCACATTTCCGGCCTCTGGAACATAGTAAAGATAGTTCTCGTGAGGGATTAGCTATCGGTTATATGGTAACTTTTTCTAGTATAGTAGATAAGGCATGCAGATTGGTATTTGATGATCCAAGAAGCACAATTGATGAAATGTTGGACACACTCCGAGATTTGGAGTCTCATGGGTTTGACGTTGAGCCTGTACGTGGACGCTTAAATGAGATGCTGTCATTTAAAGATAAGCAAGAAAATCTTGAAGGCTTGTTAACCGAGACCCAAAGTGAAATAGGAAAGCAAAACATGGAGAAAGCAAAAATTGAGGAAGAGGTTGATGACCTCCAGAAGCAAATAGCTAAGTTGGAAAAGAAGCTTTCACAGGCTATGTCCAGGAAAGGGACTAAAGAAGATGACATAGCTTCTCTTAGGCACCGGATGGATGAGATCAGCGAGGAAATCAGAAATTTGCGGGGTGATTATGAAGCTTTAACTAGTAAAGCGTTTTAAGTGCTGCAAAACTTTGTAGGTTAGCTAAGCCTTTAGCTGGTATGGCGCGGCCTATGTATCGTGCAATGCCCTTCTGTAGACGTTGTACTATAATTGCTTGCTTTTAAAAACCAACTCTTTGCGATTGACGTCTGTCGTGGGTAATTAATGTATTATGCTATGTTTGGACTTTGGGGTCAGTACTACCTTCAAAAAAAAAAAGAAACATTTAGGGTGTGTTTGGTTTATGTGTTTACACACTAAAAATGCGTATCAAAATTATAGTTATTGTTTGATTGATAGCTTTTAAAATATAACTATATAATTTGATTACCTCTTCAATTAAGAACCTCATTTTCTAATTAAAAAGAGATATTATTTCAGATTATATTGATAATTTGATTTTTAAGTTTTTGAAAATGTACATTTAAACCCAAATAAATAATAAAATTACTAAAATTTTTCACTAACCAAACGATGTAATTAAATTTTTTTTGAAGACATGTAATTAATTTTTTTAATAATTTCTTTTTCATAAAATTTTTATTTTATTTATTCTCAAATATTTTTCATAAACCCTAACATGCCTGAAGGAAAGAAATAGGGGGAAAAGGAATTGTAATTCGGTGGGAAAAGAATATGGTAGGAAAAAATAAAATTATTAGAATTGAGAATGAAAGAAGTGGTATAAATACTAAAATACTCTTATGTAATAATAATAATAGTAAAATAACTAAAGGTAGTAGTGTCATTTCATCTATTTTTCCTTTCTCACATACATTGAATTGCAATTCATGGGGGTACCCCATGAATTGCAATTCAACAAAAGGAGAAAATTGCAATTTCCTCAAATCAAACAACGTATTGAGGCATCTATTGAATTTCAATTTAACTACAGTTAAATTACAGTGAACGAAACGTCCGACATAGTAGTTTGGTGGCAAGAAATGTTATCTCTTATGTAGCCATGTAGGAGGTGGAGAGTTTGGTTTTCACAACTTGAACATTCACATGTCTTTTGTTTCATAACAGTATTATTGCTAATAAAAATGAGTTTTGCCATTTTAGAGTAAAAGACATTTTTGGTTATAGACTCATAGTGGCACAGACAATTTTAATTCTTCATACAAAATTTGGTCAATTTATGGACACACTTATTATGACAAGGACAATTTTGGTCCTTTGTCTGTATTTCTGTTAGATGCCCGTTTAAGAGGGGATAATTACGTCAATTCAGGCTCTCTTTATTGTAAGATGGACAATTTTGGTCCTCATCCATGCATTTGATGTGTTTACTCTGACCCTCATTTATTTGCACTATGAAATGCTCTGTCCACCCTACACCAAACAATTCAAAATCATACCAACCGGATTATGAAAGTATCAAATCAAATCAACAAAGTTTAAACACCTCATAAGTATATATTACTTGTGCAGCCAACAGAGAGTCTTTGTGATTATCTGCAACAAATATAACAAATACATCAATAAAGACAATAATTCAACATATACTACAAAAATCTCCCCAGTAAATTCTCATATAATTCAAATCATCAACTTTGAATATTTGTGCTACAAGCATTAAATATTGTACAAATGAACGAAAAACATTGTAATTGCATCTCCTTAACAGATCAAGTGTCCATTAATATCAAGTCTTTACCATTTACTGCAAATGAAGTAAATATGGAAATTCAGGGATATGGCCTAATCAACTGAAAGTCTGCTTCTTTCCCCAATAAAATTGGCAGAATTAATCAATTGGTTAGTGCACCTAAAGACAACTGTAAACTTGATTGTGAAGAATTATAATCAAAAGTTTGAATCTTTATTTAGAGGATTAAATATTATTTACTAAAGAAAGCTAGATTGTCTTGTTCTATATTTGGAAGGTTTTGAGTAAAATTTTATTTGTGCCCACAAACCACAGTAATGTATCATATATGCAAGATAAGCAATTAAGTGGAAGACAAATCATAGAGGCATAAACAAAATGATGGTAGCACATGCAGAACTTTAGATGCAACTCATGTAAGAAGCATAACTCAACCCTTCATCTAAATAACCTCAAAAATTGAAGTTTCAGTTTACCTTGCAGATAAGCAAATAACAAGCTTTGATGCATTGACTTGATATAACTTACAAGAACCAACCAATGCCACAATCACAGCAAGGGAGGAACGCTCTCACTGGTGTTCCCTCCACAACTACATAGCCTAGAGTTCATCAAAATCTCCCAAGAATAAATGACAAATCAAGACCAGTAAAAATAAAAATAAAAAAAAAAACTTGAATAAATACTTTATTTTTACTTAATAAATTAATGCATTAAAAATAAAAACCTTTATTAACACCAATTCCACCCCCCCCCCAAAAAAAAAAAAAAAATCCGAACCACAGATTGTATAAAATGAGAAACGAAAATTTTGAATTGCTTCAACAAAAAAAGTCAGAAATAAAAGTAAAATTGATATCCTATTTAAGGTTTAGCAGAAATAGGGAGGTGGACCTGAAACGGCCTGATAGCCGTGAGAGTAGTTGTAACACCCCACTTTTCTAACTCTTAATTACATCTCTAAACAGTCATTAACATAAACTATGCAGTGGAAAACTAGAAGATAAGTAGTGGGAGTGTCACCGCCACAACCACCATTCTTTGATGATTGCACAGGCTAAAAGGGGTAAAACTACAAATGATATTAAGTCTAGGTACTAGAAATAAATACTGAAAAAGTAAGGGGGAAAAACGTCACCCCAACACAGTCTACAACAATCCTCAAACATAATATCATAAGTCTAAATTCATAACATGATCATAATAAACGAGAGTTTAGACATCTCAAACTACGAGACTAATCTAACTCGATCTATTCTCACTGTTGGGCCCACCGGAAAGAGGTTTTACAAGCAACACATAGACAAACAAGAAAAACACCTGTTAGCACGAAGCTAAGTATAACCACACTTAAGATTTATCATATTTTTTCTAAATGCTTGCACCCTATAATATCAGCTGGCATGCTTATATATGTATAAGACTGATCACGTATATTCATCAACATATAGACTTCTCAAGTAGCTTATCAAGCAATTCATGCTTACAGATAGGATCATGTTAAAAGACTATACCACATGTATTTACATGCTTTCACATTAGCACTTTTACCACATAACTTGATAAGTGGAACTTCTACTACAACACGATAATCATGCTCAAGGAACATCTCAAGTTAAACTTCTCAATAAACAATCTTTTACGATGATCTATTCGTATACAATCATGTATAACATTATGATCATGCTTCTTATGCAATCTAGTGCAACAATATATTCATACTCATATACAATCTCGTGCAACCATTTAATCATACTCTTATGCAATCTCGTGCAACAATGTAATCATACTCTTATGCAATCTCGTGCAACAATGTAATCATACTCTTATGCAATCTAGTGCAACAATATAATCATACTCTTATGCAATCTAGTGCAACAATATATTCATACTTTTATGCAATCTAGTGCAACAATATATTCATACTCGTATGCAATCTCGTGCAACAATATACTCATGCTCATGTGTAATCTAGTGCAATAATATAATTATACACTCATATATAAATTAGAGTACTTTCTATGGAGGTTTCTTTGTTACTTTCTCGAGTCTCTCTTGACTCTCTTTCTTTCTCTCGACTCTTTATTGACTCTCATACTTGAGTCTCTGTTGACTATCTTTCTTGAGTCTCTGTTGACTCTCTTTCTTTCTTTTATACTCGTAGACGGTTCAGGGTTTCACAAATGTGTGAATTATCCCATCGGGAACGGCATAATTCCGACCCAATATCTCCTACCGTTTACGAACCAATCTCATGGTTCAAACTCGGTGTAATCAGGTATCGAACTATTAGTGTGCACACCCCCTAACCAGGATTCCAAGCCTGGTGGGAAGTTTTCAACCTCGTAACGTGGGAATACACCGCGTTACATATACTGGGACCGCAATGTCCATAAATATCTCCCGAGAGGAACATAGTCCAAACGGTATCCTCCAAAACCTCACCGATATGGTTAATACATAAATATATCTCTCATGCATCAATCTCATGCATGCAATAATTCTACTACTTCTCAATGCATCAAAAAAATGATATACCACATACTTATGGTTTTTGAAAGTATTCTTGGACTCACATTGGCCCTTTATGCATCTTTGAAATATGACTCATGTGAAATGTCAAAATGCTCTATAACATGCTTCTAATTCATGTATAAACTAACATGAAGTATTCAAAAATATATCATCATACTCGGTTTGCAACATAACAATTTCTATACATTTCACTCAACAAATATGCTTCTACTTGATCAAATAATACAATTTAATCATACTTTCATAATAAATCATATTCTCAAAGGATCATGCTTCTATACTCAATAAAAATCTTATCTGATCACAAAATCAACAATTCCTCAAACACAGAGAACTTAGCAAAATATGCACTGTGTAACAATTCTTCACATAATCCTTCTTAACATATTTGTTTTTAATCTAAATTCAACGAAGTCAAAGCCAAAACGTGCGTCGAGATGATCCCGAAGAGCCGAGCCACAAGGGCCCGTAACACTTGGTCCGAAACGTCATGTAGCTGAGCCACAAGGGCCCGACCACTGCACAAAAATCCTTCTCAGACAATACTCAGGGACCTGGGGCAGGACTCTTCATAGTCCGCCCCTAAAGCCCCGTTGATGTGCCAGGACTAGGCAACGACCCTCCTCTAGGGCCGTGCCACCACGGCTCTAGCCGACAGCCCTTTTGATGGGTCGCCACTCTGATATGGTGCACACTGTGTTGTGCACCAGATGTGATTTCACATGCAAAAACTCATCCAAACAATTCCAAAACAATCTCATCAACTCACAAACACATACTAGATCACTTCTAAGCATAAACACATCAAAATCTCATAGTTTATACTCATTTCTACTCAAAACTAGGCTTCATAGAGTCAAATCTAAAGAGGAATCCATGGGGTTATACCTCTTGTAGTCTAGTCTTCTTGCTTGGATCTCTTCTTCCTCTTGACCTAGCTTGAGCCTCCTTCACCACCTACACTTCCCAACACACCTTCTATCCTTAGCCTAGAACCTCAAAGACTAAAGAAAACTAGAAGAGAAAAGAGGCTAGAATGAAGGATGAACAAGCTTACTAGGTTGTTGTTTCTCTCCTTGTTGGCAGCCAAAATGTGAGGAAGAGGCAAAGAATGAGATCAGGAAAATGTGATGAAATAAGGTGGTTTATATAGGGTTCAAAACCCTAGGATGATTCACAATGATTGGTTGAGGGTAAAGGGGTAATTTTCCAAGCTAAAAGATGATTCTATAAGGGATTTTGGATGTCTTGTGGTCCACCATGTAACATGAACCATGGGCTAGAAATGTTATCTTTTATTACTTTGGGGTTGAAAGTGAATTTTTCCAAAAGCTATATGGATGAACACTTGTTAAAAATTCCCTTTTGAACTCTCCCAGTCTCACTCAGATAAAATTCTCGATTTAAATCTTGGTATGCAAATTACCCGAAAATATAGGGATTTTCGAATAGACTTTATTTCTTCGGTGTCGAATTAATTTCAAAATGCTACAAAATTATTTTATTCAATCACCGATCGATCACAAAAATTTTTAATGGAGTGAAAAAGCTACTTTGGGATTTCTTAATACTGGATTTATAAAATAAAATTTTGGGTTGTTACAGTAGCACTCGGGTGGAGCTCCAGCTCTGGTGGCCCTGGAGTATTTGTCGCTAATCGTAGCCACCAGTAGCTGGTCGTCCAGCCGAAGTAATCAGAGACGATGAGTATCGAGAGAGGTACTGAAGACTAAAGAGCGAGAGCCTGGGGATGATGAGAGAGCCAGAGCATTAGAGTCGCCGAAGTGTCGAAGCTCGGAAAATGGAGATGATTAGAGAAATCAGAGAACCAGAGAGATTAATTACGGATTTCAACGAAGAAGAAAACAAAACACACATGGAATGACGCAATTACCCTCTCTTAGACGGCCATCTAACATAAATACATATGGAGGATTAAAATTGTCCTCGTCACAATAAGAGTGTCAACAAAGTGTCTTTTTTCACCCACCGGTCCTACTTAAACTCACTTACTATTACCGATTTTTTTTTTTTTTTTTTTTTTTTTAGAATAAGGTTCAAATTGGCCACTGAAAGTAACCTAAAAATGCAATTAGACGACTGAACGAAAAGAAAAATACAATTAGGCCACTGAACACTCCAAATGTATGCGATTTCACCGAATAGCAGGTCACCATCAATTTTAGCAAGTTACATGCTTATGTGGCAGCTGAGTAGATATTTTAAATAATTTTTAATAAATTTTAATAATAAATTAAAAAAATTGAAAAAAAAATAAAGAGAAATGGTCAAATAAGCCCCTAAACTTTACACCAAAAGTCAATTAGGCACCTAAATTGTTAAAATGTGCAATTAAGCCCTCAAATATATCAAATTGAGGCAATTGGACCCAAAATCAGGTAAATAACCTGTAATAACAATTGCCTTCCGTTGAGGAAGGCGACCTTTCTGGTCGCCTTCCAGAGGCGACAGTTCGGTCGTCGCCGGAGTTTTGTCTAAAATCGTCGGATTTAAAAGTGACCTGTTATTACAGGTTATTTACCTGTTTTTGGGTCTAATTATCTCAATTTGATATGTTTGAGGGCTTAATTGCACCCAGGGACGGAGCCAGAAATTTGGTTGATGGGGGAGGGGAGGGGGGGAGGGGGGGCGAAACAGTACAGACGGATTCAGAAAATTTTTTCAGTAAACGCGAAACATTAAAACAAACGAGATAATTTAAAAATAAATAAATAAATTACTTAAGAAATATAGTTGTAAATATTTTTGGATATTGACGAAAAATAAAACACATCAAAACTTTATAAAAATATTCATAAAATAAAACACATCGAAACTTTATAAAAATATTAATAACAAAATATGAAACATAATTAATGAATTGTAAAAATATGTTAAAGCCAAGTTTGAACTCTTGACCTCACACTATTGCCAAATATGTGATCTACCACCTAATCTAACTCACTCTTATTAACATTCCATAGTTTTTTTATACTAATACTAAAACTTGTACTATATATACATATATACATACAAAGACTATATATGGGGTGGGGGTGGGGTGAGGGGGGGCAGTTGACCCCCCTGCCCCCCCTTTGGCTCCGTCCCTGATTGCACCTTATAAAAATTTAAGTGCCTAATTGACTTTTGGTGTAAAGTTTAGAGGTCTATTTGATCATTTTCTCAAAAATAAATAAATTTTATTTTTATTACCTGCTCCGGCCCATTGTTTTTTTTAATATTATTAAAATTTATTTAAAATGTCAACTCAGCTGCCACGTAGTAACTTGCTAAAATTAATGGTAACATGCTATCAAGTGAAATTGCATACATTTAAAGTGTTAAGTGGCCTAATTGTACTCTTTTCGCTCAATGTCCTAATTACATTTTCAGATTACATTCAGTGGCCAATTTGAACCTTATTCTTTTTTTTTTTTTTTTTTTTTTTTTTTTTTTTTGTTCCTGTATGTATCATGGAATTGCAGAGTTGTTAGGGGAGAGGTGAGATTTATAATTCTTCATGAAATTACACTCTCTAGTCTCTTCCCTCCAAAGTCCAAACGATAAAATTTTCATGATATTACTATAAAGATTTATAATCTACTGCCAATTAGTAGCATTATGTGTCCGTTCAAGTTGAACATCGGCGGCATTTCCCACCACATTACAGTTAATTTAAACCGCGCCATTAACCGCTGCATTCGCAACGCGGACCTGGATGGAGCTAGACACATGTTTGATCAAAATCCTTACTTGAGAAACGTGGTCTCCTGGAATTCAATGATCATGGCCTACTTCAGGCAGCGTGAGGTCCAACACGCCCAGGAGCTATTCAATGAAATGCCTCACAGAGACCTGGTTTCTTGGAACACCATGCTTTCTGGCTTTCGTCACACTAATCACCCAGAAAAGGTGTACAAGTGCTTTGTTGAGATGAATAAAGTGGGAGAGAGGCCCAATGAGCTCACCTTGGCTGTAGCAATTAGCGCATTCCTTGGAACAAAATTCAACATTCTCATTCCTCAGCTACATTGTGTGGTGATATGCTCGGGGCTTAAGCTGAATGTTTTCGTGGGGTCTGCATTGATGAGGGGTTACATAGACTTGGGTAATTGCCAAGGCATGCATGGAGTGTTTAATGAGATTTTGGTGAAAGATGATGTTACCCCGTGGAACGTGTTGATTCTGGGTTATATGGAGTTTGGGTTGATGAGTGAGGCTGAGAAAGTAGCTTTTGATGTGATGCCAGCTGAGAAGAATTTCGTTACTTGGAGCACATTGATTAATGGGTATATAAAAAACAGGAAAGTTGATGAAGCTCGTGGTATTTTTGATAAGATGAGCGAAAAAGATAAAGACGTGGTTTCCTGGACTGCAATGATCAAAGGGTACGTGCAGTGTGAAGATTTTGACAAGGGATTGGAATTGTTTGTGGTGATGTTGAGGAGGAGTTCAGGAGGAAGAAGTCGGCCCAATCATTATACATTTTCTAGTGTTTTAGATGCGTGCGCAGGGTGTTGCTCCCTTGTGATGGGTAGTCAAGTGCACGCGTGTATTTTAAAGTTGGGTATCCGTCTTGATGATGTTATACTGTCAACCTCGCTTGTTGACATGTATGCAAAATGCGGAGAAATAGAAATGGCTTTCTGCATTTTCGAATCCATGCCCGAGAAAAACTTGGTTTCATGGAATTCAATAATTGGTGGATATGGGAGACATGGGGTTGGGGAGAGGGCAGTGGAGGAGTTGGGGAGGATGGTGAAGAGTGGAGTGAAGCCGGATGAGATAACCTTCATTAATGTGCTATCGGCTTGTGTTCACGGGGGGAAAGTTGAGGAAGGGGAAAGAATTTTTAATTGGATGATGAAGAAGATGAAGATGAAAGTGGAGATGGAGCACTATGGGTGTATGGTGGATTTATACGGAAGGGCGGGTGAGCTGGAAAAAGCAGAGAATTTGATAAAGGGGATGCCTTTTGAGGCGGACGTGGTTGTGTGGGGTGCATTTCTTCGAGGGTGCGCCTTGCACTCTTGCCTTGAGCGTGGGGAGATTGCAGCAAAACGAATATACAAATTACAAACAGATCATCCAGCTTTGTCGTCGTGGTCGTCGTCTAAAATTCAAATGCAAATGCTGGGTGCTGGACAAGGTGAAGAGAAGGGATCAGTCCATTTCACCAAAAAACAAAAGGCTTGTAGCTGGGTTGCTTGAATTGAATTCTATTTTATTATTTCCAACTCCTTCACAATATATATTCAATCTATATCTAAATTTCTAGCTAATGTGCACACATCGATAGATCATCGATGCAATAATGGCCGGTCTACCCGTAGATCGCCTGGTCCGCCTACGGTACGCAAACTGGAAAGCTTAGTCTATAGTTCTCCATCTCCACTTTCATCTTCATTCCGTATAAACTTCAAGACTAGCCACAGGCTCTCCAAACTTAATCGGGTTGGCGTGCCGGACTCGGTCATACCTTAACGTCTAAGGCAGAACAATCCTTAACACTATTCACGCCCCCTTCACCTGCATGACATTGCTAACCAGTTGGTCGTTTCCACATTCATTTGGGTCTTCACACGATCACGGAAAAACAGTCTGTGACACTAAGCATACAAATCACGCACTTTAAGTTTCAACTACTACTCACAATAAGTACACAACTCATGCACCTTAAGCACAAAACTCACGCACCTTAAGCACAAAACACACGCACCTTAAGTTTCGCCAACTACTCACATTAAGTACACAACCCACGCACTTTAAGCACAAAACTCACGCACCTAAAGTACAAAACACACACACCTTAAGCACAAAACTGACACATCTTAAGCACAAAAATCACGCAGCTTAACTTTGACCTAGATGCAAAAATACCAAATTGCCACTGCAATTTTTTTTTTTAATTTTAGTAATCCTGGACATTGATTTAATCATAATCAAAATCAATGGCTCTCCTCTCACTGCACAACCGCACCTGGACGCACCAACCGCATTTAAACCTAATTATATATATACATCCACATTTTCTATCTTAAAAAATTAAAAGCTAAATCTTATCATTATTAAATTTTTAAGTATGCAATAATTATAAAAATAAATCATACTCTTTGTTATGAAACATAAGGAAAATGTGGATGTCCTGGTCTTGCTCTAGAAGGAGCAAGCATAGTCTTGCTCAGAAAGAGCACAGACATAAGAAGGAGAAGGCGCACAAACAAGCTCAGAAAGAGCACAGACACAAGAAGGAGAAGGAGCACAAACATAAGAAGGAAGAGCAAGAGCACAAACAATAAGGAATGTTCTTGCTCCTGCTCCTGAAGAGCACAATACTCCAAAAATGTAGCTATTGGGAATGGAACACGTGCACTAATACATGACAAAGAAAAGCTACATGTTAAGTAACTAGCTAGACTAATTTCAACATCTATCTATACTATGCAAATTATATATTTGTTTATTCATAATCCTGATAGTATAAATACCCCCTTCACTCCTTGTATAAAAACACATCAGAAGCAATATATATGAAATATAGCAATCCTCTATTCCTCTCACTGAGCTAATATAGCTACTATTCTATTGCATCTTACTAATAATAATGTTACTATTATTATTATTATATTCACAACACGTTATCAGCACGAGGTCTCGGGTGCAACTATTACATAGGTAATCTTTCTTTATATAATTATAATATTTTATTCAATATTACCAATATGTCAAACACTCAAACCTTACAAATCTTGAATTTGTGGGACTTGATATATCCGGGAAAAATTACTTGTCATGGGTACTGGATGCTGAGATGCATCTAAATGCAAAAGGTCTTGGTGAAACTATAAAAGAAAATAGTGATGCTTCGATGCAAGATCGAGCAAAGGCAATGATTTCCATTCGCCATCACCTTGACCAAGGGTTAAAAGATGAATATCTTACTGTGAAAGAACCCTTTCAACTCTGGAAAGATCTTAAAGAAAGATATGATCACCAGAAAACAGTAATTCTTCCAAAAGCCCGTTATGATTGGCTTCACTTGTGATTGCAAGATTTCAAAACTGTGAGCGAATATAACTCTGTTATGTTCAAAATTAGCTCTCAGTTGTTGTTATGTGGAGAAAGAATTATTGATGAAGATATGCTTGAAAAAAAATTCTCCACATTTCATGCATCAAATATGGTGCTGCAACAGCAATATAGAGAGAAAGGTTTTACCAAATACTCTCAATTGATTTCATGCCTTCTGGTGGCTGAACAAAATAATGAGCTGTTGTTGAAAAACCACGAGTCACGCTCTACTGGCTCAAACCCATTCCCTGAAGTGAATGAGGTATCATTGTATAATGAAAAATACAAATGGCAGTGGTCGTGGCCATGGACGCAGTCGTCGTCATGGAAAATACCGTGGTAAAAATCTCGGTCGTGGTCAAAATCGTTATGGTGGTCAAAACTTCAAAAATAAAAGTTACCACCGAAAAGGAGAAAGTGCTGGTGCAAAATACGACAAGGAAAAGCGTGAAAATTATCCCAAGAATGAAAGTATATGTTATCGTTGTGGCAAGACTCATCATTGGGAACGCGCTTGTCGTACATCAAAGCACTTTTTGGATCTCTATCAAGCTTCCCTGAAAGGAAAAGAGCAAAATATAGAGTCCAATAATGTTTTCATGGATAACGATTTTGATATCACACAGTTGAATGTGAAATATTTCATTGAGCCAGTTGAACATCAAGACTGATGTTTTTATCTTGGAGATCAGTTAAATCTTTTTTGCTATCCTTGTAATATTTCTAATAAATTTTATTTCCTTGTTTTGTACTTGTTGAAGAAACAAGATGAATACATCATCACTTGTGATTAAATCCAGTGCAAATGAAGAACATGTATGTATTGTGGATTGTGCAACCACACATACAATTCTCAAAAGAGAAAAATATTTTTGCCTCTTGAAAAGAAATGAGGCATATGTCACTACAATATGTGGTAGTGCAAAAATGATTGAAGGCTTTGGAAAAGCCAATATATTATTGCCTGGAGGAACAAAATTGATGGTTGATAATGCATTATTCTCTCCAAAGTCTCAAAGAAATTTGTTGAGCTTTAAAGATATTCGAAAAAACGAATATCATGTTGAGACTATAAAAGAAGGGAATCAAGAATTCCTTCAAATTACAAAGGCAATATTGGGAAAGAAATATGCGATGGAAAAATTCCATGCTCTTCCCTCTGGATTATATTGCACAAAAATAAGTGCAATCGAAGCCAATCTTATAGTAAACGAAAGGTTTACTGATTTAAATGATTTTAAGATTTGGCACGACCGGTTGGGTCATCCAGGATATGTGATGATGAGAAAAATCATCGAAAGCACAAATGGTCATACCTTGAAGGAACATAAAATATTTTGAACAGATGAATTCTTCTGTTCTACATGTTCTCAAGGGAAATTAATTATAAGGTCATCACCAACCAAAATTGGTATTGAATCACCGGCATTTCTTGAAAGAATTCAAGGTGATATATGTGGACCAATACATCCATATAGTGGACCATTTAAATATTTTATGGTCCTGATTGATGCGTTAACTAGATGGTCGCATGTGTGCTTATTATCATCTCGTAATATGGCATTTGCGAGATTGATTGCACAAATAATAAAATTGCAAGCCCATTTTCCCGACCATCCAATTAAATCAATCCCGATGGATAATGCTGGAGAATTTACATCCCAAGTTTTTGATAATTATTGTATATCACTTGGGATTGACGTTGAACATCCGGTAGCGCATGTTCATACGCAAAATGGTCTAGCGGAATCACTTATCAAAAGGCTACAATTGATAGCTAGACCATTACTTATGAAAAGTAAACTCCCATCAAATGCATGGGGGCATGCTATTTTGCATGCAGCGGCGCTAATTCAAATTAGGCCGACAAGTTATCATAAGTATTCTCCATTGCAATTAGCCTTTGGTCAGGAACCTAATGTTTCTCATTTGAGAACATTTGGCTGTGCAGTATATGTCCCTATTGCTCCACCACAACGGACTAAAATGGGTCCTCAAAGGAGATTGGGAATATACGTTGGCTATGAATCTCCCTCGATAATTAAATATCTTGAGCCATTAACGGGAGATATGTTTACTGCAAGATTTGCAGATTGCCATTTTGATGAAGCATCCTTTCCAACATTGAAAGGAGAAAATAAAATTGTGGAGATGAAATTGACATGGAATACTCCATCATTGCTTCATCTAGATCCTAGAACTCAACAATGTGAACAAGAAGTTCTAAAGATAATTCATTTGCGTGAATTGGCAAATAAACTGCCAGACGCATTTGTTGACCCAAAAAGGGTAACAAAATCTTATATCCCAGCAGCTAATGTTCATGCTAGCATTGACATTCCAAAAGATCAAACTGGGAATGAATCTCAAGTACGCTTAAAGCGTGGAAGACCTATTGGTTCGAAGGATAAAAATCCTCGAAAAAGAAAGGTCAATACAAAGAATGATCTTTGTGAGAAAAATGAGAAAACTCATAAAAATGAGTATGAAAGGAATGAAATTCCTAAAGAGATTCATTCGCCAGAAATTGAGAAAAATGAAGAGATCTTGATGAATTATACTAATGCTGAAGATATATGCAATAGAAATGAAGTCATTGTGAATGACTGTTTTGCATATAATGTAGCATTGAGTATCATGAATGGTGATATGGATCATGAACCAAGATCCATTCATGAATGTCAAAATAGGGACGATTGGCCTAAATGGAAAGAAGCAATTCAAGCAGAATTGAATTCGCTTGAAAAACGAAAAGTGTTTGGCCCAATCGTCCGAACACCTAAAGAGGTAAAAGCTGTGGGATACAAATGGGTCTTTGTAAGAAAAAGAAATGAGAACAATGAGGTTACGAGGTATAAAGCAAGACTCGTAGCTCAAGGATTCTCTCAAAGACCAGGTATCGATTATAATGAAACATATTCACCTGTTATGGATGTTGTAACATTACGATACCTCATTAGCCTAACTGTGCATGAAAAGCTAAAAATGCAACTAATGGATGTTGTAACAGCCTACCTGTATGGGTCACTTGATAGTGACATTTACATGATAGTCCCTGAAGGACTGAAAATACCTGAAAGGCATAAAACAAGCCCTCGAGAACTTTACTCGATAAAGTTACAAAGGTCTTTATATGGACT